TCAATAAGTCATACAGTACAGAACCTAGAGGATGATCTCCCTCTCAAAATTTGAGCATCAAGAACATATACAGGTGGTGGAAGACAAGAAGGATCACTTCCTCCAGTAAAAATTCTGTAAATCTGAGGCCAATCAAGTTTATTACCACATTGTTCATGTGTTAGAATGTGCTGCTGCTGTCTTACACTGAAAAAACAACAACAACATTCGGGTCACTGAAGCTGTCTGTCTGTCTGTGTTCAAAGTGAAATGTATTTTTAATATGTGGCCTTTTCACCTGTAGCTTCATATGTTCACCTCTAGATGTCCTACCATTCTAGTAATGATTTCTGGATATTGATGCGATGTGCTGAAATGAGTTTAAAGGGGTCATATGATGCGATTAAAAATTTTCCTTTCTCTTTGGAGTGTTACAAGCTCTTGGTGCATAAAGAGGATCTGTAAAGTTGCAAAGACTAAAGTCTCAAATCCAAAGAGATATTCTTTATAAAAGTTAAGATTTGCCCACGCTCTCCTAAAACGCCTCGTTTGAACACGCCCCCACATGTCTACGTCACTGTGTGGGAAGATTTGCATAACGCCGCCCAAATGTTCACGCAAAGAAAGAAGGCATAACTTTTATTTTGTAGTATTGTTGCCACCGCCATCATGTTGTGGAGATGCTGTGTGTTTCGTTGTGAAAGCGAAACTACTTTGTTTGGCCTTCCAAAAGAGGATGATATCAGCTTCGTCATGCCTGAAGATGATCCGTTCTGGTCGCTGAGGAAATACATCAACTTTGCGCAGTGGATCGCCGGATCGGCTTTTACCGTGGACGAAGCGGAGTCCAGCCCGGGGTCGTCACATGTGGTTGCCGCAAGCCTCCTTAGTCAAATCCGCCAGGCGCCGCTCACTCAAGCCGCTGTGTGTTTCGTTGTGAAAGCGAAACTACTTTGTTTGGCCTTCCAAAAGAGGACATAATTTTCTATAAAGTGGGGCATTTCCAACTTTGCAAGGACAGTCTGGCGCTTCTGACTCACAGCCTGTAAGTAAGTTTTTTATATTTAAAGAATTTGCCACTGATGATTCAAACGCGAGTTTTGAGCAGTGTAGAGTAGCGCTTGTTGTTTGTCATTTCTCTGATCACAAATGCAGACATGGTTTTATGTTTACGCGGCACAATACGCAACGCAAAGCGTAAAAATACAGCATAAGTCATTATAATCAGTAATTATGTCCCCACTGGATGCAACAAATGCCTTGTTTGTAATGGGTTTTATTGGTTTTGTCTCGTCGCACCGGGACACATGGAAACACAGTATGGTAAGGGGCGTAACATTTCCGTCACACGCTTGAGGTATTCAGCCAATCACAACACACTGGATAGCTGGCCAATCAGAGCACACCTCGCTTTTCAGACCGATGCTAATACTATGCTAAAGTTCTCTTACAAGTTTCCTGTAATACTCAGTGGGGACACAATGCTGTTACTGTAATCACAGCGCTAAACACACACTGTAAAAAAACACTGTGTTTCAGAAAGGCGGGGCATAGAGGAGAAACAATAATGTGCATTATGTGTTTTTTTAACCTTAAACCGCATAAACACATTGCATTACACCAAATACACAAAATAGTGTTCTTTTTAGCAACATCATGTGACCCCTTTAAATGGAAATCAATGTTTACTTCATCAGTTCTACCACATCAGTGAAAGAATGTGCACACAAGGCCCAGAGAGTGTGCACATATTTACACCGTTTATGTTTTATTTGTTCAAATCCATGTGCATGGCAAGGTTTACACATCAAGCCCGATGTTCTGGATGGTTCAAATGTGTTTCGTATTGGATATATTTCACAAAGTGGTGAGGACAGGATCAGTAGTAGGGTAAAAAGTATGTTCAACCCACAAGTGACTCCTTTTTGGGTGACTAATAGTAATGAAAATAAAGTACAAACCACAATTTATGATTCTGAAAAACAATTTAATTATAATTAAGAGATTTTCATTTAGAGATAGATGACATTCAGTACATTGATTTACTAAACATTTCCAGTACACTCTTCAAATCGAACTTGGATTCGGTCTGTTCTCCAAGGCGCTTTAGAGGCATGTTCGATTTAGCTTTATTGATTCCTGTTGGCCAAGGAAGAAAAATATGGTAAATGCAGTTTACATGGTAAATCACAACTAGTCTCACTTATAGAAGGCAACTTACTTGAATGCATCGCCTTTTCTCTGAATCCGCATCACAAACTCTTTTTTCAGCAGGTCATTGAAGATGCGGGTGTCTGGATCTTCTATAGTTGGTCTGTAGAAACAAGCATCAGATCCTGCCTGGTGCTTCATAAAGCCTGAATATTGTAACATGGGCCTACATGCTGCCCATTTCCCCAAACTTACTCACTTTTCTTCTCCCTCTGATTGAGCAGAAAGTTTACAAAGTTTTTCTGGACCATCGAGTCCACAATTTTGCTGATGTCACTCGCAATGGTTGATTCAGCATAACGGCGGCTAAACTTCTGGATTTCATTTCGTGAGCTATTAGTGAAATTTTAAAAACAGAGCATAAAATCAAAACATAAGCTTTTCTTTAATTGTTGTGTGACTTCTGTTGTCTGTACATACACATTTGGGTAACACTTATAATGTTAGTTAATGCATTAATCAAACTTAAAAAGTAATTGCTGAAAATGTACTCACCCTCAGGCCGTCCAAGATGTAGATGAGTTTGTTTCTTCATCAGAACAGATTTGGAGAAGTTTAACATTACATCACTTGCTCACCAATAGAGGAAGTGTCACGGACCATTTTGGCCAGAAGGGGTGGTTTAAAATCAAATGTATTAATGATAAATTTGTTTATTACAAACACACTGCTTTTGGATTGCGTATATTACTTGTGGATTTTTGTATTACATTTATCAGCTTTTTGGACTCTCATTCTGACGGCACCCATTCACTGCAGAGGATCCATTGGTGAGCAAGTGATGTAATGCTAAATTTCTCCAAATTTGTTCCCATGAGCTAACAAGTTCATCTACTTCTTGGATGGCCCGAGGGTGAGTAAATGTTTAGCCAATTTTCGTTTTTTGGTGAACTATACATATTATATAACTATAACTATTTCTGTTTACAAATGGAACCTTATTGTAAAATGTTACCACATTATATGCATACAGTATGTACGTTTTGTATTCGAAAATGATCTGATGATGCTTAATTATTTTCTTACCTGCTATCAAGAGGCTGGGATCCCGCGCATGACCATGCACAGCCCAGGCATATCAAAACCAATATAAATATTGCAACCTTCATTTCTCCTTTAATACTTCAAACCAGATGAGAAAAATAGATATCAAACATCCAGCACCTCTGACAACAAAACAGCTGAATGCAAATAGATTTAGACCTACCCTTTCTAGTTCTGGTCCTGTTGTGATGGTTCTGCTTCTGGCCCCTGTATTGGCTAAAACTGATGCACAAGTCTACAGCAAACGGCACTGGTCTTTTATACAGTGCGACTGACATTAACACCAGAACAACAACTTATTTCCACATCATTTAAACAATTAATAATGAGGCATAAAAGCTGATAAGGCTACTTTTTCTTACAATCGTAGGTGTCAAATCTATTTACACTCTCTGTGGTTTGTACTAGACATATAACATGTTAGTGGAGCTGAAAATAGATAAATGACCCCATTAAACCATTCTTTTTTAAAGGCAAACATATTTTCATTATGCAGATCAGATAAGTATTGGCTGATGTAAGGAAATGTTCCAAGCTAATGACTCCAGGTGTACATTTTCAGGCATTTTAAGAAAAGTCAACAGATTATATTTTCCAAAGGTTCCTGTGTCCTTGTGGCAATAATAAGAGTGGTGATGGATATGCAGTTATTAAAGGAATGGCTGGTGAAAATGCATTTTTAGACTTTTGGAAAAAATAAAATATCCATATTTCTACTTCATTAATATTTTAAACAGGATTGCCTCACAACAAATAAGGTAAAGACAAGATTTTAACTGAACATTTATATATGTTCTGTAAATATTCCGTTTCATATTCATTCATATAGCCTATATACTCTGTATCAGTGTTGGGGGTAACGAATTACAAGTAACGCGAGTTACGTAATCAGATTACTTTTTTCAAGTAACTAGTAAAGTAATGCATTACTTTTTAATTTAGAAGAGAATATCTGAGTTACTTTTTCAAATAAGTAACGCAAGTTACTTTTTTTTCAATTTATTGATTGACAGCTCTCCTGTCCCCATGTTGAGAGAAATCAGAAGATATTACTGTAATTCTAAAATAAATATTAATATGCATTAATTCATCTCACTCACACAAAAAAACAACAACATAGATTCAGTATTCCTCAAAATGAATAAAAATAATGCAACTCAGAATATGACGCAAACCTGCAATAATTAAATGTTAAACAACACAAATATCCTTTATGTATTTAATCCCATTCTATTAACCAATGTCTTTGCTTCTGACCTTCGATGATCCAGTTCAACCATACTAATAAGCACAAATTACTCTAGACAAACATATGTGTGCTTTTTATTTCTGAAGTGTGTTGAAATGTCTTCTTCTGCATTCTACTGTACGGACGTAAATTTACTTTCCCTTCAGCCTGAGGCTTATTCATTTCACTTTTGGTGTGAAAAGTCTTTTATATTTGCCAAAAATAGAACTTTTTTATTTTAAGAATATACAAGCAAGCCCTGTCCAGATTTAAAAAGTAACGCAAAAGTAACGTAACGCATTACTTTCCATAAAAAGTAACTACGTAACGTAATTAGTTACTTTTTTATGGAGTAATGCAATATTGTAATGCATTACTTTTAAAAGTATCTTTCCCCAACACTGCTCTGTATTAAAAATGCAAGCATGTTTTTGACGTTGTAATGGCTGTTTTTTGTTTCCTAAGCTTTTATTTTGAAATCAGAACTTCCGCTGTGAGTAGCTGCAAAAAAATCAGCGTATAATTCTGCATGTACATATCTATAGAGTCAAATGTAGTGTTTTCAAAAACAGATCAATTCGTCGCAGTTGCATGTTGTTGAAATATGCATTTATTAAAATACCCAAGTCAGAAGTCAATAAAACGCCCACGTCAGCGTTAGTTAATAATAAACGCACAGTTATTGCGAAAAACGAAAGTTCATTCATAGATAAGATGGATGGAACCTCAGATTTGTTTTGGCAGGCAATGCTGTTTACGCTTCTTGCAATTATAATAGCAGCAGTCTTTATGGGAAGAAATAAAGCTCCTGCGCCGTCAAAGTGCTTCCATCAAACTAGCGCTGTTGTGGAGGAGAGAGCTGGTCCAGACCCTGGAGCTTCCACACAGTATCATGAAAAACAAAATAATGAAAGCAATCAACAGGACATTCCGCCAAAATCTAATGCAAAGAGCCTCAAAGCCAAAGATAAAACTAAACTTGTAAAGGTAAGGATTTATTCTGCTTTATGGATGATTTTGTAATAGTTTACAATCCAACTGAAAATGACGAACCAATGAAAGCATTAAAGGGGTCATATGATGCGATTTCAAGTTTTCCTTTCTCTTTGGAGTTTCTCTAATGAACCCTTTATTCTTTCTATCTTCTCCTCAGGATTCAAACTCAGATAATGTGGAAAAAGTTTGCAAGTCAGATTCTCCAGTTCACACCTCCAGTGGTTGGGGAGAGGATTCCTCCGAGTCTGGGATAAGGAATGCCTTGAGGGATTATGCTCAGTCACCTGGTATAAGAATGATGATGATGATGATGATGATAATAATAATAATAATAATAAAAAAATTTTTTTTACTAGCTTTCTGTTGATCAGTCTTATTATTGTTTATTATTACAAATTGTTTGGGTTACTGTTTCATAAGTATTATATTAAAGTATTTTTGACCTCTGACTATGAATATACAGTGGGGAAAAAAAGTATTTAGTCAGCCACCAATTGTGCAAGTTCTCCCACTTAAAAAGATGAGAGAGGCCTGTAATTTTCATCATAGGTATACCTCAACTATGAGAGACAAAATGAGAAAAAAAAAATCCAGAAAATCACATTGTAGGATTTTTAAAGAATTAATTGGTAAATTCCTCGGTAAAATAAGTATTTGGTCACCTACAAACAAGCAAGATTTCTGGCTCTCACAGACCTGTAACTTATTCTTTAAGAGGCTCCTCTGTCCTCCACCACCGATGCTACTTCAATCAATATTTATAGCTTTTTGTATTAAATGTGCACTTGTTGTGTACTTAAAATATTAAAAGTATATTTTTAAAAACTGTACTTGCTAATATATAAAAAGCCACTTTAAAGGGTTAGTTCACCCAAAAATGAAAATTAGGCTGCGTTTTACTCACCCCCGAGTAGACTTGTGCCGGTATTCGGTAATGCGATATATCACGGTAATGATTATGCACGATATTGTTATCGTGGGCACATCTAAATACCGTGAATAATTATATATTACAAATTATTCCGAATTTTGAATGCATTTTAAGAATACTTTTCCCATCAACTGGTCAAAATGCACAACACTGCTGTATGCTGCGAGTGCGCACTCTGACGTAAACAAGCGCGGACGAGAAGCACATGGCGGAACATGTGAGAGACGCTCTGGATGAAAGCGCACTTTCACTCTCTGCAGAAATAATAATAATAATAAAATAATTCATTTAAATGCAGCTGTTTTTTTTTTTTTTTTTTAACTTTTTTTACATTTTAATCTGGACTACAACATGCCCTAGATATTGTTTGAAAGTGTTTTGATTCTTTATTGTTTGGTCACACTTTACATTAGGGCTTCATTAGTTAACATTAGTTAATTCATTAGTTAACATAAACTGCCAATGAAAAATTCTTCTGAACTTTCATTAATCTTAGGTAATTACAATATTTATTTAATAACATGTTGTTAAAATCGAAAGTTGCAACTGTGTTATTTAATGAGCAAACATGAACTAAGACTTGTATTTTTTTTTAAACAAAGATTAATAACTGCTGTAGCAAATGTAGCTATTGCTCATTGTGAATGTTAATGCATTAACTAAGGTTAACTAATGAGGTCTTATTGTAAAGGGATACCTATTGGTCTTTATAGTTCTTTTGCACTTTAATCTGTAAAACTTTTAACTTTATACATTTTTCTGTATTGCTTTATTGCATTTAAATGTTCAGTTATTTTTGTTATAAGAAAAATGTTATTAAACCTGTTATACTGTATTATGACAGCACTTTTTAAAACTAAGTTTCAATACCGTGATAATACCGCATACCGTGATAAAAGCATTAGCAATTAATCGCAACATGAAAATTTGATACCGGCATATCCCTACCCCCGAGGGATCCTAGGTGTATATGACTCTCTTCTTTCAGACGAATCCAGTCAGAGTTATATAAAAAATTGTCTTTGATCTTTCAAGCTCTATCATTGCAGTCAGCGGGTGTTGCATTGCGTTAGTCGAAGAGACCTGAAATAAAAAGCACCCTTCCATAAAAAAAGTGTCTCACACGGCTCCGGGGGGTGAACAAAGGCCTTCTGTAGCGAAGCAATGCGTTTTTGTAAGAAAAATATCCATATTCAAAACGTAATAATCACTTTAATCTAGCTTGCGCCAGCAGTTGTACACAGAAGCAGCTCCGGGAGGATAACGCATGAGTCTCGTGAAAATCAACGTTTGTTTACAGGATCAAAAGAAGCAAAGTTTCCTTACTTTAGCAAAGGAAAACCAGTCTCCTCTTGGCTTATATCGAAATCCCCCAACATTCTTCTTTACAAATCCTCGTTTTGTACTTCTAATTAGTGACCATTGTTTTGTTTCGATCTCTCCGCGTGCATCACTTCTGAGCGCCGCATGCGCAACGCCGACCTCATACGTCATTTCCCCGGGAACTGCTTCAGTTTACAACAGTGAGCGCAAGCTAGATTCAAGTGATTAGTACGTTTTGAATATGGATATTTTTCTGACAAAAACGCATCGATTCGCTACAGGAGGCCTTTGTTCACCCCCCGGAGCCGTGTGAGACACTTTTTTTATGAAAGGACGCTTTTTATTTCAGTTCTTTTGGACTGAAGCAATGCAACACCCGCTGACTGCAATGATAGAGCTTGAAAGATCAAAGACCATTTTTAATATAACTCCGACTGGATTCGTCTGAAAGAAGAAAGTCATATACACCTAGGATACCTCGGAGGTGAGTAAAACACAGCCTAATTTTCATTTTTGGCTGAACTAACCCTTTAAGTGAACTTAAAGAGACACTTATGACTACGTTTTTTAACATGTGCACTTAAAAAGTGCACTTTGTAACAATGTCAAACTAAAAGAACATTTTAACTCATTGTTATCATTTAATGATATTTTGTCATACTTGTACAAAGAAGTACTGTACTCTTATTTGAATGTGTTGACTAACATACTAAAGCACTTGTAAAGTACATGCAATTTAAACTGTAGGCTGTTATCTGATATTACATGCATATATTTCAAATGTACTTATTGCCACTTCATCATTACAAATGTGTAATTACAAATAATTTAAATACATGACATACAAGTTTCAATTAAATTACATCAAAGTATATTCTAGCATAAATATTTTGCATAAATGCTTGTCAGTACATTCAGCAACCATATTTCAAAGACAATAGAAGTAATTATGAAATAACATATAAAATATACTACTTAAGTGGGTAAAAAGGCACGTACATTTCCATTTATGCATTTAGCAGATGCTTATCGCAAGTGACTTACAAAAGAGGAACAAATCAATTTGTTAAAGAGCCAACAGTTGTTATAGTACACAATACCAGATTAATTACACAACCAGATAAGGAAAACAAGCTAGAGAAGAGAAGTACAGAGTTTAAATATTTATTTTCATTTTTTCAATTCTATTTTATGTTTGTGTAAGTGGATTGGTTTAAGAGTAATTGCATTTAATATAAATTTAAATGACGGTACATTTTTATTTAATAACATGCAGTTAAGTATCTGAAACATTACAATCAGTTTGCCCTTACTTATATTATTTTAAAGCATTTTATTTCCATAAGTACTTTTTAAAAAAAAAAAATGCTAAAGTCTGCTTCCTCTTCACAGGTCTTGGTATAGTGCTTAATACGTATTGTAATTTCCTGCATGATGTCATACACGCATCATGCACCCCCCTTGGTTGAAATCATGTTCCAGGCCCCACAAACTATGTTTCACAGTTAACCCCTGTCTGACGCCCCTGCGTGTGTCACAAAAGTGAGTCAGTGTTAAAAATGAAGATGATAAAAAAAATGCCCTAGAACAATACTAATGCAAATAATGTTCAAGGCAAATTTTGCTGACAAGGCTAATTTAATATTAATTTTCTAAAAAAAAAATCTAGTTCAGTTTGAGCAGTTTTTGACAAAATCTTAATTTTACAGGCTTCACAAGTATTACTGTTTGGTTAAGTAAGTAAGTTTGTCACTCCATAACTTCCACTCTGCAATAGATGCTGAGAAGAAACCCTTGAGGTACATGGCTGGCATGCTGAGGACCTGCCAGCTTGAGAAGATGATGACCAGAGAAGAACTGGAGGAAGAGCAGAGGTGATTTCTTCTTAACTGAATGTCTTGTAATTTCAGCAATCCTTGCTAAAATGCTGTTGGATAGTAAGAACATTAACCAGTATCAGGAGGATACCTGGCTTTTGTCCACAATGTACACCATCATTCAAAGATTTGGGGTTGATTTTTTAAAACTGTTTTTGAAAGAAGTCTCTTATGCTCATTTAGACTGCATTTATTTGCTTGAAATTTTTTTTTTTAAATATATTTTAAAATGTAATTTGTACTTGTTGTGATATTCTAATATGCTGATTTGGTTCAAGAAACATTTCTTGTTATTATCAGTGTTGAAAATTTTATTTAAAAAATAAAATAATTTTAAATTTAAGTTCAAAAGAAATAGAATTGTTTTGTTGCATTATAAATGTCTTTACTTCCATGTTTGTTCAGTATAATGCAAATGCATTCACTCTGAGTAATTCATAAAGTCTTACCTTTTGTTTGCTTTGTATTTTGCTTTTCTAGTTTGTTCTCAGAGAGACAAATGATGTATTGTAATATCTTGATGATATATGACCCATACAAACAATTTCAATGTTTTCACTCCACCCATAACCAACATTTTAAAATACATTTTCTTTAATAGTCTGCAAACAGTTCTGTTAGGCATGTTCACTTCAATATTGTAGTTTCACATAGTTTCAAATGTGCTCCTGTTTGCATTATTTCATAGCATTTGTTGATTATTCAAATAGGTAAACAAAAGACATTTTCTGTTTGAACAGCACACACTGTAACACCTCAGTGGTCATGTTAGATAAACTCACCATTACATAGTGAAGGCTTCAGGCTATTCAGGCTCGTTTTCTGTTTGCCAATTGTTCCTTTAGACCCGGATAAGCACGTCATACCTGTACGAATGTGAGTTTATTATTTGGATAGGATGTAAAATAATTTGATTATTTTAACTCAGCTAAATTAAACTGCTCACGTTTTATTTGTACATCACTTTGCATAAATATATCTATCTATCTATCTATCTATCTATCTATCTATCTATCTATCTATCTATCTATATATATATATATATATATATATATGGCTGTATTAGATCAAAAGGGTGCTTCTACTAAATACTGAGCAAAGGGTCTGAATACTTAGGACCATGTGATATTTCAGTTTTTCTTTTTTAATAAATCTGCAAAAATGTCAACAATTCTGTGTTTTTCTGTCAATATGGGGTGCTGTGTGTACATTAATGAGGAAAAAAATGAACTTAAATGATTTTAGCAAATGGCTGCAATATAACAAAGAGTGAAAAATTTAAGGGGGTCTGAATATTTTCCGTACCCACTGTATATATATAGGTTAGAAATAAATGAAAATCTCTGCAGCACCAGTTACAGTTGAGGTCTATCTTGCAGAATCTGCAAAATGTTAATATGATAATAAGATGATCATAAAAATCACATTCCACAAGACAAAATAACAGCTGAATTTATACAAATGACCCCATTCAAAAGTATACATGCACTTAATTCCCAATATTGTGTGGCGTTACCTGATCAATGACTGTTTTTATGTGTGCCTTGTTAAACTGCTCACTTTTGTGCAGAAAAATCCTCCAAGTCCTGCACATTCTTTGGTTCTCCAGAATCTTTTGCATATTTGAACCTTTCCAGCAGTGACTGTCTTTTCACGCTAAACTTATAACCACAACTGTAGGTAATAATGTTACAGACTGAGCATCTGTGATATGTATTTAATAAAGTGTATGTGTTTTGTTTCAGGGTTCAGCGAGAGCAGTTAGCTGCCATCTTTCAGCTGCTCAGAGACAAACAAGACACGTTTGGTGAGGTGACAGAGAGTGATTTACAAGAACAGCTTAAACTCTATTCTATTTGAGAGTGTGGTTATGTGGATTATAGATGCAAATACCATTTTAAGGAGAGTTCAAGTTGAAATCAGTGACTTCAATGAACCAAAAAAGGGTTTGTTTTTTACTTATATGTGTATATATGTATTTATTGCTTATTATTATACATAATATGTGACCCTGGACCACAAAACCAGTCTTAAGTCGCTTGGGTATATTTTTATCAATAGCCAAAAAAAACATTGTATGGGTCAAAATTATCGATTTTTCTTTTATGCCAAAAATCATTAGGATATTAAGTAAAGTTAATAAAATTTAAAAAATGTTCCATGAAGATATTTTGTAAATTTCCTACTGTAAATACAAACCCAATTCCAAAAAATGTGGGACAGTGTACAAATTGTGAGTAAAAAAGTAATGGAATAATTTACAAATCTCATAAACTTATATTTTATTCACAATAGAATATAGATAACATATCAAATGTTGAAAGTGAGACATTTTGAAATGTCATGCCAAATATTGGCTCATTTTGGATTTCATGAGAGCTACACATTCCAAAAAGTTGGGACAGGTAGCAATAAGAGGCCGGAAAAGTTAAATGTACATATAAGGAACCGCTGGAGGACCAATTTGCAACTTATTAGGTCAATTGGCAACATGATTGGGTATAAAAAGAGCCTCTCAGAGCGGCAGTGTCTCTCAGAAGTCAAGATGGGCAGAGGATCACCAATTCCCCCAATGCTGCGGCGAAAAATAGTGGAGCAATATCAGAAAGATTCAGAGAATCTGGAAAAATCTGGGTCAAGGCCAGAAAACCATACTGGATGCCCGTGATCTTCGGGCCAGACTGATAGCATGAGTGGAAACTGGTCATGAAATATGCAGAAAGCTTGGGCTGTTATTAGTCTCATTCTGACTTGTTGCGTGCTGCTCTATCTAGTGCTTTGGATGAATCTCGCTGAACAGTTTCACAGGTAAGAAAATGAGTGAATCTTTTGCAAATATTAAAAATTTGTCTTATAAGGTGTAAGTATGATATTCTAATGACTGCTATATGGGATTTATTACTGTTTTATTAGATATTTGTCTGTCTGGATTACCACAAAAAGTTTATTCCTGTTTTTGCTGTACACTTTCCTCCTAATTAGCAAAACTGTCGTCATTGCTGCATTGATTTTATCACAACTTGGAACTACTAGTTTGTACAAAAGTGAAAATCTAATTTACTCCACTGAGCAAGAAATCAACATAACACCTATTCCGGTTCTCTATAAGAAAAATTTTACAAAACTTCCAGTGTGGGATTTTGAAGATGTTTATTTGCGAAACAATGAAGCAAGAAAACCTGTAAGTCTTTCGTCTCCAATACCATTCTCACTGTGAAGTTGTGAAATCCTTTTAATCCTTTGAAAAAAAAATCACCTTTTCCGTAGACCTGTCCAAAGTCCCTTCAAAACACAGAGGATCCCAAGTTCAAGGAGGCTGTTCTTCCTGACGTTCAGCTGTGGCTGTACAAAGGTCTACTCAACGTAGCAGAATGGAATCGATTAGCACACTTCAACAATCCCTTCGGCTTCATGGAATACAAGTACAATGGTGATAACCTAAGGCAAATGAAAGATTTGGCATACTATGGGTGTGTAGAGTCCTGCATGTGTTTGAGAAAGGGGTGCAGCAGGTCGTTAACTTGATGTCATTATTAGCTTGATGTCATTGGAGTTTAATACTGTAAACAATGGAAACAGGACTTTTTTCTTTATTTAAAGAAACATTACGGGTTCAGTGCAAGCTTAAATCGACAGCATTTGTGGCATAATGTTACTTGTCCCACCTTTTCTTTTCAAGTCACCAATTTCATTTTTTTTAAATGGAATATTGCAGTGTTTATTATAAAGGATTTATTCATGCACATCATTATTTTAAAAAAAAATCATGTGTCCTTGTAATCTTTAAATAATATAACTTCCCCTCCCCCTTGCAACAACATTTTATTTATTTTTTGATGATGTGTGCAGTGATCTGTCACTCGCACGAGATCCCAGCAATAGCAAACAACAATGATCCGATCAATTCCCACTGAACAAAATCAAGTCCCGGTCTACATTTAGGGACAATAGGAGTTCTGGGTTATAATGGTAAATATGTCAGTCAGTCAACAAACTTATTCACTCTTTCAGTACTGCAGCTGAAAAACATAATATGTGTTAACATTATTTTAGTGTAAAAATATCACTGATTTTATTTACTTTAAATCCTTTAAAAATTTGCGCCATTAACTTGGACTCTAAATGTTTCACTGTAATCTTGATTTAAAAAAGGAAATTTTTTTTTCTTTAAATATCTAACACTGTTGATTGAGCTAAACTTGCAAACATGAAGTAAAGGAATAGTTCACCCAAAAATGAAAATTCACAAAAAAAATTACTCATCCTCAGGCTATCCTAGATGTAGATGAG